ATTTACAAAAACAGGCAGTATATGGATTCAGCCCGCAAATTATGGTTTGCCAACTCCTGCTTTAAACTTTTGCAACAGTTAGAGAAGAAAGGAAAAATGAAAACAGAGAGGGTAAGAGGAGTCCCAGACTGAAAAAGAACTGGAACATTTACTGGCCTCCCCAGGAGCCAAATAAGTGACTGAAAATGTGGGCACATTTCATTCTTGGCTGGGCACAGTGGTTCATGCCTGTAATTCCAGCAGTTTGCAGGGTCGAGGTGGGTGGATCATGAGGTCAAGAAATCGAGACCATCTTGGCCAATATGGTGAAACCCCGTCTCTACTAAAAGTACAAAATTTAGCCGGGCGTGGTGGTGTGCGTCAGTAATTCCAGCTTCTCAGGAGGCTGAATCACGAGAATTGCTTGAACCCAAGAGGCAGAGGTTGCAGTGAGCCAAGATTGCATCACTGCACTCCAGCCCGGGTGACAGAGCAAGACTCAGTCTTAAAAAAAAAAAAAAAAAAAATCATTCTTTTCCTTCTAGCTCAGGGCTGGCCTCAGGCAAAATGATAAAGCAGGCGTGCCTCAATTCTGCCCATGTTTTCAGCCTTCTGCATCGCATTATGTACCCTGGTGCTCATGGGCTGTTATAGTCAGGGGACGCCTAAGAGCTCATTTCCACCCTCCATGTGAAGAACCCTCCCTCGATCATTCTGAACAGGTGGCCACTGAGCCACAGCACGAACACCTCAAGTGATGAGGGTCTCATTTTCCCAGAAGGTGACTGATTCCAGCAGGTGGAATATGATATGATAGAAAAAAAAATGAATTTTTGAGGGGAAAAAAACCCAAACAAACAAACAAAAAACCAGAATTCTGAGTGTGTAACTGGCCACCTTGTCACCTGATGCATGCCTTTAACCTGGGACCTTAAACTTTGTATCAACTAAGCCCTGACAAAATGTCTTAACCATGATTATTCTCCCAAAATATCCAGTCTATGTGGAATAGATGGAGTTCCAATTTTAAAAAACACCAACAGAGGAAAAAAAAAACAAAAAACAAAACTATGAGTTATTCTCAGAGGTTGGAGCTTGACAACATGATTCTAAAATGTATATGGTCAATAATTGTCAGGATAAGGGAGACAGGAGGTTCATCCTACTATGTATCAAGAATTAGGATAAACCTAGAGTATGTCTGCCTTCATCAAATCTGAGATGCCACTGATCGTGAGACACATGCTATCTTACACACCGTAACAAGAGAAAGTCAGTGACATGAGTTGCATTGATAGTAACATGTATCACAATTTCAGAGATGGTAAAGTGTGGGGGAGTAAAAGTACCTCTTAGAATCAATGATGTATAGTAAAAACAGTCAGCCGGGCGCGGTGGCTCAAGCCTGTAATCCCAGCACTTTGGGAGGCCGAGGCGGGTGGATCACGAGGTCAAGAGATCGAGACCATCCTGGTCAACATGGTGAAACCCCGTCTCTACTTAAAATACAAAAAACATTAGCTGGGCATGGTGGCGTGTGCCTGTAATCCCAGCTACTCAGGAGGTTGAGGCAGGAGAATTGCCTGAACCCAGGAGGCGGAGGTTGCGGTGAGCTGAGATAGCGCCATTGCACTCCAGTCTGGGTAGCAAGAGCGAAACTCCGTCTCAAACAAAAAACAAAAAAAACAAAACAAAACAAAACAAAAAACAGTGTGGAACACAAATAAAATTAGATCCCTCACTCCCACCTTATAAAAATTATATTTTGAATGGGTTAAAGTCCTATCCATGAAAACAAAATCTTTAAAATATTTTGTAGGCCAAAAAAAATAAAATAAAATACCCTAAGAAAAATTAGAAGACAAGCCACAGCTGGAGGAAGATATTTGTAACACATAAAATGAAGAATGGATTCGTTCCCAGAATATAAAGAAGTCCTACAGATCAATAAGAAAAGACGAACAAGCCAACATGAGAAGAGACAATTCACAGAGGAGGAATTTTGCACGCCCAGTAAATGTGTGGAAAAGAGCACATCCTGCTCTGTAAGCAGAAAAATGCAGATTAAAACAATAAGATATATACCCACCAGGGCAGCAAAATAATATAAAGCGTTGGCAAGAATGTGTACAGACACAAGCTCTGCAGCTTGTGGGAGTAGAAACTACAAGATCACTTTGGAGACGAATTTGATAATGCTTCAAATATTTGAAGATGTTCATCCTATATCCCAACATCTAGTGCTTCAAGAAATATACTCTAGATATACATGTACATTTGGAATCAGAGAAAAAGGTGTCTAATTTTAGCATTGTTTGAAACTGAGAATTTGGAACCAACTGTCAACTGAACAATGAATAAATATAGTACATTCTAACAATGGAATACTACTCAGCTGTCAAAAGGGATGGCCTAAATCTAAGTGCTGAAGGTTATACAACAATATGAATGTCCTTATAATATCACTGATCTGTACACTTAAAAGTGATTAAAATTGTAAATTTTATGTTATACATATTTTGCAACAATAAAAAAACATTTCAAATGATCCTTGAATAAATGGCTGATTCAAGATCTGAGGTAAGGAAAATACAAAATGAGGTGGAGTAACTTGTGGTACCAGAAAGTAAGTACTAAAACAAGTAAAAAGATGAGGGAATGTCAAAGAGACAGGTGTTAACTTGAAACAACAGCTGGAATTCAGTTTGCAAAACTGGAATTCAGATGAGGCAAATAGCATAGTATTGGATTATAACTCAAAGTGTAAATATATAACCATGAGTCTATACTGATACAAATAAATGATTGAGTAAACAAGTGGGGGAAATAGACAAATTTGCCTTATAAAATAATTTTCTTTAATACACATTGATACTCCTTTCTCCAGGAGGTGAAGTTTAAAATTTCCACCCCTTAAGTGTAGGCTAGATTTAGTTACTTGCTTTCAAGCAATACAGAATGGTAAAGTGGGAAAGAATAACTTTACCATGGTGAAATCTGCAGATTCCCTTCACCAAGTGATGAAGGTTAACATCACCAGGGACGTTATGTGGATATCAGTTCTCCCTGAGAGGGTGAGAAGAACAATTAATCTCTGTGCTATTCTTTCCAAAATCCCATAATCCCAGTGTCATCAGGAGCAACTGTCAGACACACTCAGATTAGGGGACCTTCTGGCAGATACCTGGACAGTACTCCTCAACTGTGTCCCAGGTCATTAAAAGCAAGGAAAAAAACAAAAAACAACAACAACAAGAAACAAACAAGAAGAGACTGAGGAGAGGAGTAAGTGAAACAAAGTACTCTCATTAGACCCGGGAACACAGAGAAGACATTGACAGAAAAACTAGAGAAATTCCAGTGAAGCCTAGAGGTTAATTAATAATAATCCACTAAAGTCAGTTTTGTTGTATTTTCACTTTGCCCATAACCCATGTTAATGTAAGATGTTAACAATTAGAAAACTGAGTGAAGGGTTGACAGCAGCTCTTTGCACTGTCTGTTCAATATTTCTGTAAATGTAAAATTTTGCCAAATCATAAAGTTAATTTAATGTTTAAAGTGAATAAGCGGAAAGGAAATGCACACAGTATTATTCCATTTTTGTAAATATCTAAAACACTCAAAAACACTATTTTTGTTAAGAGGTACATACTAAAGTAGTGAAAATTATAAAAACTGATAAATGAAATAAAAGCATAAAAGGGAGTAATACAAACTAGCTTTAGGAGACTTGTCATCTCTGGAGAAAAAGGAGGGAATTAGACTGGCGCATAAAACTGCCAATTTTAAAATATATGCTAAGAGTCGTCAAAATGTGTTTGATACGTTTATGAGTATTTAGTATTCTCTGTACTTTCCTGAACACATAAAACTTCCCAGAATTCATAAATAAATATTTATAAAGCCAAAAGGGGGAGGAAAGAGGAAACTCTAGAACCAGATGGACTCGTTTGAGTCTGAGCCTTTTATGTAGTTACTATGTACCCTTTCTAAACCTCAGTTTCCTCGTCCGTTAAACGCGGAATAACAGTTGCATATTGCTATCGCTATGTGAATTCAATGAGACGGTATCAGAAAAGTTCTTAGCATAATGACTGGCGTGGTCAGCACACACAAGGCACACTAGCTGGCATGCTTATTTTAATCTTGAACTATTTTGACTCCTGGAGTCAGATTTTGTTTCTTACTTTTCCTAATGTTATGCCCTCACTTGTCTCCCCATACGCATATTAGTCTCAATTGCTGTTTGTAGGGGATATTTATTTATACCTTCACTGTGTGTGTGTGTGTATGTATGTGTGTTTCATTTTTTATATATATATATATTTCATTATATTTTATATCTATTTCTTTAACAAATATATGCGCTTATTCTATGTGAAAAGCAACATCCTGGGTTTGGAGGACACACAGATAACAGACCAAAGCTGCAAATAACAGAAATATCCCTATCGGGAAAGAGGGAATATGGAATCTCAGAGTGGGGTAATTCCACTCAAACTTCAGGAGAAAGGAATGCTTTCCTAGCGCAGAAATATCTGAGCCAAGTTTTGAGCAAGGAGTAGAAATTACCTAAGTGAAAGAAAAGTGAGTTTCTTTGGTGCAAACCAAAGACCATCAACTTTGGGATTTGTGAAATGTAGAATACAGTTGGAGGGTGTGGAGGTACAGGAGTGCAGGGGTCAGGAGATAAAAATGGATTACAAGCCAGAGCTAGATCACAAAAGATCCCGAATGCCAGGCTGCAATATTTTTAAACTTAATTCTAAGGGCATGGGGAAGCTCTGAAGGATTCAAGTGAAAAAGTGCCCTGCCCAGACTGGGGACAAGGGTGTGGAATATATTAAGGCTGTGAGTTGGAAGGCTGGTGGTTATATTGATAGATTCACAGCCAGAAACAAAAGAGTGGAACATTTTTCTTTACTTTATACTCTTTCATTCCACCACTCCCACGAGGCTCCTGAGGAGGCAGAACACGTGAGGAACCATGGGAGAATAGATCTCAGATTTATCCGTACCTTATCAATAGCAGCACGGGGCCCCAAATCTGCATGATGAAGACTGGTTTAGAGCATGAGGCCACCACTCCAGCCATGAGTAACCCTATGGCTCCCCCTGGCTCTGTGGATTCAAGAAGAAGGAAGTGTCATACATTGTCCAACCCATTCCCACAGGCTGAAACTTGGCAGGATGAAGTAAAAGAGGATTCAGTCTAGATACAGAGATGCTAACCCTACCCCCGAGTGCAATGAGGTTTATTGTCTGTCTTGGATGCTGAGGTTGGGTGTTCTTCCAAGGGGCTAATGCAAACTGAGGAAGCTGTAACTGTTTCTCATTTTTTCACTGTGTGATCACTCTCCTGCCCTGCCCTGAACCCCATCCCAATTTGCCAGTGAAATTCACTTTGCAGAATGTGTGTTTCTGAAAATACTTGGCCTTATCTATTTTTCTACAAACAATCCTAATGGTATTCCTTCAGAAAAGTTGAGGCATCTAAAGTTGTGCCAGGGTGGAGGATGTCTTTAAGGGTTTGTATTTGCTTGCATAAAGGCAACGCATTGACAAACAAAACATTTTTCCATCTTTAAAGGGCTTGGAGGTGGGAGCAGAGATGGAATGGTAGGCAAAGACAGGCTTGGAGTATGGAGAGGGGAATCTGTTTCTCCTCCTATGGAATGAAGTTGACTCTAGAAGTAATGGGCTCTTGGAAGGGTTAGTGTTGTTCCTTACAGAAGCCAAAGACTCTCCTTGTTATGTATCATCCCCATCACCCTCCACCAAAAAATGACCTCCAGACTCTTCCTATACAATCTGGGAAGCACCAGGAAAGAGAGACATCACAGCTTTCACAAGCAATACAAAATTCACCTGCTTTTTAGTCAAGGGAGAATGAACATCCAAATAAACAAACAAAAAAGGCCCTGGGATCAGGGAGGAATTTTCAAATGAAATATACGTCCCCCGCCCCCTCCCTCCATTGACGATTCTTCTGCCATTTACATGAACTAAACTTGCCTTGGATGCTCACCACCTGCTCTTCTCTCCAATCGGGTACCATATCCAAGTCTTTCTCCAAAGCCCGCTCCCCACCTTTGTGGGTTTTTTTATATATCTTTTTAAAAAACTACTCTTTGAGTATGGTTATTTTATCTGGGGTCAGTGCTCAGTCAACTGTTAAATAAATTGCAAATTCTACAAAACACAGCCAGCAGAGCCGTTTCTAACTGTAATGCCACAACTTCGAGCAAAATTACATCTGGCTACAATACTATTCATATGCATAAATTATACCGCCTCTGATTATCTTAAAGAAAATTCAGCCATTAAACTTATTTTATAGGCAGAGAACCAGGGGGAGCACCAGGAAGAATCTGCATCTCCTAAAAGTCACAGGGAAAGCAGAAAGAAACAAAAACATAATTGGCAAACTTTATCCGCCTGCAGTTCTGTCTAATGGGCTCTGTCTCTCCTAATTTTCCATCACCACCCACCACTGACATACACAGCACAGCAGGGGAAAGGAAGAGGGCAGGGAGGAGGGGGTGGCACCAGTCTTCATGTGGTTAGGACAGATTAAGGATTCATTCCAGCTCTGCACGTGTCCCCAGAGGGGAAAAGCTCTCTGGGTGTCCCTCAATGGGAAATTCAGATTTAGTGCAGGCATAAATCTAAACCTTGCCCAGGAGAATGGGCAAGATGGTTTCTGAGTCTGATGCAGAATCTATTTGCAGTACACATCCAAAATGTAACCTAGCTTATGTTATGGAGTTGCCTTTGCCAGCTACATTGTTTGAATCATAACAGGAAAAATAAGAGTAATCAGTAAACGCTTACTGTTGATTGCTTATGTGCCACATGTATCCTAGTCAACCAAAAGAATAACCCAATGAGGTGGGAATTTCTTTATTTTATTGTACTGTACTTTAAGTCCCAGGATACATGTGCAAGATGTGTAGGTTTGTCATATAGGTATACATGTGCCATGGTGGTTTGCTGCCTATCAACCCGTCATCTAGGTTTTAAGACCCACATGCATTAGCTATTTGTCCTAATGCTCCCCTTCCCCTTGTACCCACCCCCTGACTGGCCCCAGTATGTGTTGTTCTCCTCCCTCTGTTTATGTGTTCTTATTTTTCAACTCCCACTTATAAGTGAGAACATGTGATGTTTGGTTTTCTGTTCCTGTGTTAGTTTGCTGAGGATGATGACTTCTGGCTTCATCCATGTCCCTGCAAAGGACATGATCTCATTCCTTTTTATGACTATATAGCATTCCCTGGTGTATATGTACCATATTTCTTTATCCAGTCTATCATTGATGGGCATTTGGGTTGGTTCTGTGTCTTTGGTATAGTAAATAGTGCTACAATAAACATACGTGTGCATGTGTCTTTACAGTAGAATGATTTATAGTTGTTTGGGTATATAGCCAATAATGGGATTGCTGGGTCAAATGGTATTTCCGGTTCTAGATCCTTGAGGAATCGCCACACTGTCTTCCACGGTGGTTGAACTAATTTACATTGCTGAGGTGGGAATTTCTATCAAATACCTTTTCTACATGAGAAAACTGAAGAACAGAGAAATTAAGTTACTTTCTCAAGCACACGCATTTAGGAAATGGTGAAATTTGGACTGGAACCCAGACAGTCTGACAATAGAGCCTGTGATCTTAACTGCCATGTTGCTCTTTCACTGAGATTATTAAGGTGTTAGGGGCTCTGAGTTGTCACCAGAGCTCATCATTTAACCATGGACCTCAATCCTTGGTATTTTTTTCTGAGATTTGAGATTGAGTAATAGATAGCAGCTAAACTTAATGAAGCCAATCAGATTATGTTTTCTGGGAATTTGAAGTAGGACACCTTCCCCTAGGTAGTTAGCAGTCAGTGCCAGGTTGACACAGTCACAATGGGTCATGTTAATAGAGCAGAAACAGAGATGGCTAATCACCCAGGAAAGGAGAATAAAGCAGATGAAATCAATATAAAAATGATGATGGTAGAAAAAGACAGAGATTGAGCACCTTGGTTCCAGCATAGCTTTCCCCAGAGTCAGTAAGTTCTTACTAAAACATGGCAGCACTTCCTGTCCTTTAATTCTGCGCATGGAAGCCCCCTAATTCTCATTCTTTATGACAAAGCTTTGTTTACTGGAGCTCACTCAGTGGGTTTTGTATAATCAAACCAAGCCTAAATCCTTGCTATGTACCAGGCACTGTGCTAAATACTTGATGGCATTCGTTCATGTGACTCTCAGGAACTCTACAAAGGTATGCTTTGTCATTGTCCCCATTTCCAAGATGAGGAAGTTCAGATAGATAAAGTAACCTACCTGAAGTGATAGAATGGCAAAGCCTACATTTAAAACCAAGCAGAAAGGCACCAAAGCCTATGCTCTTAGACTCCATCTCCCTACCTGCCATTTTTCCCTCTCTCTAGTCTCTGCCATGCAGAAGGAAAGGTGGTCCTTAGTTTACACCTGTCAGTTGTCCTCACCCACTGCACTCCTTTGTCCTCTGCCACCCACCTTCCTTTGCCTCTGTCTCTCTCTCCCACTCTTCAAGAATATTAAAGATGATAAATCTAAGTTGAAAACATGCATTTTTTGTAAGACTACAGACTTTATCCCTTTTTGTAAAGATAGACATGACAATTTATAAACTCTGACGGAGCTCTGATGGAATGGAATGAGGCCTTTTCAACCCACCTCATGGTGGACAGCTTATCACCCCTTTTTCTGACCTCTAGTATGTGATTTAGGAGAAAATTGAGTCAGGAGAGGGAACCCTCTAGTGAGTGATTAGAAAAACTCTGCCTCAAATTCTGTAAGCAGTGGATTAGATCCTATCAGCCCTCATCTGCCCCTCCCCACATTTCACTCCAGGTAGTGCGTCTTGGGTGAGGGAAGGCTAAGACTGTCAATTTGTTAGTTGAAAACAGTTTTAAAATCCATTTCTCCCTGTGAAATATGTCAGCCACAGAGAGGTATCTCTCTGCTTTGACAACGCTTTATGTATGTCATTTAAGATAACAGTGAAAAAGGCTCCAGGAGGCAGAGGTTGGGTGTTCTTCCAAGGGGCTAACTCAAAGTGAGAAAGATCTGTTTCTTATTTTTTCACTGCTTGATCACTCTTCTGCCCTCTCCTGAACCCCACCCCAATTTGCCAATGAGATTCACTTTGCAGAATGTGTGTTTCTGAAATGACTTGGCCTTATCTATTTTTCTACAAACAATCCTAATGGCATTCCTTAGGAAGGGTTTAGGTACCTATGCCAGGGTGAAGGATGCCTCTAAGGGTGTTTGCATTTGCTCACACAAAGGGAATGCATTGAGATACTCTCCATAGCTTAATACCCAATGAATAACAACAATAAAAACTCTGTGGGCTGGACATCGTCCCGGAGGTTTTATGTCTATAATTTCTCAATTAAAGCCTCTTCACCACGGTGTGGGTATCATCTCTGTCCTGGAAGAAACACTGAAACCAATAAGCCAATCACGAATAGACACTTAATCTAGTGGCTGATAAATGCCATGTCTCTACTTTTCTCTCAAAGCTCCTTTGAGTCCTTAGGAAATAAGCCGACAAGGGGTATCCCATTTGCCCTTTTCTTTTTCCCTCTTCTTCTGTTTCCAGGCAAAAATACTGACGATGTCACTACCACGTGCCAAGAGATCAAAGCCGAAAAGTCTTTTATCCCGGGGAGGTAGTTCTTGTTAAAAATGGAGTTTCTCAATGTCTTCAGTGGGAGCATCGTGGGGTCTTTCAGATTCTTCACAGGGGAGATGCTATTAGCAAAGTTTCATCTTTTTAGGCCTGACTACCTCTCATGACACAGCTTCATGCATTATAATGCTGAAAGATCCTTCCTCCTCCCCACCAATTTTTCAGAAATAAAGCAATTTTGTGAATATATATGAATAGGTGCCATTCGTATCCCCCTTTTTTGCAGAGGAGGAAACTGATGCTCAGAGAGGTTGGAGGAGTTGTCCCGGGTTCCAGAGTTAACAAGTAACAGAGTCTTTGAACCCAGGCTATTAGACTCCACAGTACAGCACATAGCAACATATTCATTTATTCCACATGCATTAAGTATTTACTATGTGCTGTCCTTTGT